ACACCTACAGCAGAATGTCAGGGCTGAAGATGAATGGCATGGCATTTTATGTGGCATGGTCAGAGGGAGCTGAGAAAGCAAAGGGCTGGGAATGCAGTCAGTGACACATGTCAGCCCCCCCCCCATTCAATCCCCAGTACACATGTGCCCATCAAAAAGGAAAGCAGAGTGGCATTTAGCACCTATTAGAATATTCCAGAATGGAGAAATAGTCAGAGCAAAGTTCCCAAGACAGGAATGTGCTCCAAGGTGAACGGGAAAACGAGCAAAGCCAGCAGGGCCATGTAGATCATTAAAGGGGCTTTGGCTCTCCCTCTGAGCAGAAGTAAAGCCATTATAAGGTGCTTGGCAAAGAAATCACACACTACCTCTGGCTGCTGTATAGAAACCAGACTAGGGAACAAGAGTAGGGACAGTTAAAATAATATTAGCAAGCTCACATGTAATGCTCAAGAGAAGGCAGGAGCCACTGAGGTTATAATTCTGAAGTTATACCATACTCTGAAGAAAGAAACAACCGTACTGATGGGCAGGTTCTGAATGAAGTTCAAGTACTTGGAGGGGAAACTGCTCAGCTTAATACTGTAAACAGAAAAACATTAAGCACTGAAGGTCAAAACTCATTAAAAACAAGAAGTCCCATCACAAAGAATAACCTTTAATGCACACAAATGGATTTAAGTGTTCAGAATGGAATACAGGGCACCATTCTGAATCTGACTGTATCTTAAATATGCTTAAGAGGTGGTCCTGCACCTCTGGTCCTCACTCTACCTCCCCAGCACTGAGATTACAGGTGTGAACCATCAGTTGTCATTTATGCAATGCTGAGGATTGAACCCAAACAGATCATCATGCACGCTAGCCAAGCGCTTTCATCTGTATTGCATCCCGGCCCCTAAAATACATTTAAACCACCAACATTTCAACATAAAAAACTGCAGGCACATGTTGATATTGCCAGAGGTTCCAGCATGTCCCAATGGTTCCCCAATGCTGTGTGTACTCTGGGCAAGGATTCCTGCCTCCTAAGGGGGCATTTTCCAAAGTTTTCTGAGAAGTCAACTAAAAAGAGGCAGGTGATAGAAAAGTGTCAGCAGATACTTCCATATAGCGACCATGACAAATTCCCAAGAACTGCTCAAAATTGGGTAAGAATTTTGTCTGATGGAAGGCTAAGTTGCCTCCTAAAGGGAGTCTCAGTTGGTAGAGTTGGTGGACTGAAACTGATGTGCAGACATCTTGCAAAATATAATTATTATCCATAATTGTCATTTAAAAGTATGAGACACCACGACAGAGTTGTTCCTTCTTATCCAATGGATGCCTGATACCATGCACAGTACTAAACCTCAAATACACACCTGTGATAATGGCTACAGATGAGGCCAGCAAGAGCATAACAGGCATAATATACTGCAACAAAGGTGTTAAGTGTGGCCTCTGTCTCTAGATATCTTTTTAAAAAAATGAATTATGTCTATTATTATTAGTGTGTGAGAAGAACCATGTGTGATGGTCAGAAGACAACTTTCAGGAGTCAGCTCTCTCCTTCTACCAAGTGAGTCCCAAGGATCAAACTCAGGCTGTGATGAATGGATGACACAGGCTTGTATGGAGAAATAAAGTGTGGTGGGTGAGGTAGGTATTGTAATGCAGCATTAGGCTGCCTCTGACTCTCTGACAAGCATGGAAGGGGATCCATTCAAGCCACAGGTATGTTGGGAATGGCTGGGTGTCAGGAGCAGAGGGTAATGGTGGTTGGGGATCTGTGACAGCTTAGGACTTTTTTCTCTTATTTTCTTTTGTGGTTTTGGAGACAGTTTTTCTGTGTAGTCCTGGCTGTCCTGGAACTAGCTCTGTAGACCAGGCTGGCCTGGAACTCAAGAGATCCACCTGCCTCTGCCTCCAAAATGCTGGGATTAAAGGTGTACACCATCACCATCCAGCATTTTTTAAAAAAATAAACACTAGCCACCGTAGCTGGGAAAGGTGATATTCTGTTTGTTTGTTTGTGACAGAGTCTCACTATATAGCCTAGCTAGCCTGAAGTTTACCATGTAGACCTCCATGGCCTTGAACTCACAGAGCTCCACCTGACTGTGCTTCCCCAGTGTTAGGATTGAAGACACCTCTGACATACCTGGTGAAAGGGGGCATTTGGGATCTCATGCTGGGGAAAGGCAAAGGATGAAACCCCGTGCTGATGAACCCCGTGCCAGTCAAAAGAAAAACTTGTCCAGAAAGAGATTCCACAGTTTTTACAAAGTATCAGTCCACCTTGCAGGGCAGTGGGCCAGTGACAGAAGGAATGGCATCCTGACCAGGAGTGCTTAGCTATGCATACCTCTACCCCTCCACTTAAGCCTAACCCTCATATCAGTATTCTAGGAAGGGACTTGGAAAACATTTGTTCCTTTCCCCAATGTGGGCACACTGCATGAACTCCTCTTACTGCTAGGCACTGTCAGTTGTCTCGTAAATTGAAATACTAGGGACCAGTGGCCAAGTCTACTTTGTTGGCACTGACAGAGCCCAGCCTTTGAACCTAAAAACTCCAGTTAATAAAAACCTTTCAAAAAGACATTGCAGATGCCAGGTATGGTAACACATGCCTTTTGTCTCAGCACTGTATCTCTGTGAGTTCGAAACCAGCCTGGTCTACAAAGTGAGTTCTGGGCCAGCCAGAACTACACAGTGAAACCCTGTGTAAAAAGACCTAATATTTTTTAATGGCATATCAATCTGAAGTTGTTTGTTAATTTTCCAATCGTGTTTGCAGGGGCTACACACCTTACATGACTGCATGGAAGACTTTAATGTTTTATTTATTCCATCCAAAGATCATAATCCATAATCTTATTCTCTGGGGCATGTAGTGTTTGAAACACACTGACAAAATGTAATAATGACCACATCTCTACATCACTGTCGTCTCCCATCACAGAAAGGCAGTGCCTTCCAAGCCCTTGTTGTTGGTCTTCAGTGTGTGCCTCTGCTTCTGCTGGGTGTGTGGCAGAGCTTCGTTGGCAGTTACAACCTCTACAGGGAGCTTTTCAGAACAACTCGTTTCTAACTCCGTGTAACCCATCCTTACTCCGAGGAAATTGCTTTGTGTTCCTGTTTCAGGGCATGCCTGAAGGAAGCCTCCACACAGGCATAAAGGTCTGACAGGTGACATTCTTCTAAGAAACACTCCCCCCCTTCTTATGTACACTGGTGTTTTGCCTGCATGTATATCTGTATGAGGGTGTCAGGTACCTAGAACTGGAGTTACAGACAGGTGTAAGCTGCCATGTGGGTGCTGGGAATTGAACCTGGGTCCTCTAGAAGAACTGTCAGTGCTCTTAACCGCTGAGCCATTTTTGTCCATGTCTTTTACTCACAAATGTAATGGCCTCTCTACTCTAAGTAAACACTTACTAGAAACTGTGGCTTTAACCTGGGCAACATGAGGTACAAAAGCAAAACTAGCACTTAGTTATTTGGATTTCAGAAAAGAGCTTGTGTAGCCCTCAAGCTTGCCATCGGCGTATAGGAGTACCGTACCACACAAGTCTTACGGTGAGTGCCATGGATAAAACCCACAGCTTCCTACATGCTGGGTAAGCACTCTCCCAACTAAGCTACACACCAGCCCTGATTTTAATTTTATAAAGATGTATTTTTAATGATGAGTAGCTGCTTGTGTTTGCCTGAATTGTGCACATTCCCTGAAGCCCAGAAGCCTGGATACTACGGAGCTGGCTGGGAGCTGCCTGATTCAAACGCTGAAACGGAAATCAAGTTCTCTGGGAGAGCCACAAGTGCACTTCACCACTGAGCCCTCTCCAACCCTAATCTGTTGTTTTTACACAAGGTCTGGCGATTGTACCCAGGCTGACTTCAAACTCACTACCCTTCTACCTCATGTCTCAAACGGAGGGTGCAACCCCAGAGTCAGCACAAATTTTTCTACTTCATAATTTCACAGATACAAGATTTGTTCTTGCAGGGCACTGGTGGTGCTCGCCTTTAATCCCAGCACTCAGGAGGCAGACGCAGGCCGATCTCTTAGTTTCCAGACCAGCCTCATCTAGAATAAGTTCCAGAACAGCCAGAGCTACAAAGAAACCCTGTCTCAAAGAGCAAACATGCAACAACAAAGATTTGTTCTTACCAAAGATTTTAGAAACTTTCGCCTATGGGCTTACTTATTTTATTTCAAGCACCTTTTTACCTAACAGTAGCAATTTCTGGCTTTGCTTTGGCAAAACCCAAAGGCTAGCATTACTGTTCTTGTGATTACAGAGGGTTTCTTGAACACAGTCAGCTGTTCTTAGGGACTAATGAGTGGGTAGCATACATTTCAGGGATCTGCTGAGCAAGATGATGTATGTGCAGGAAGGAGAGCCTTCATCATGTTACTCTTTTTTGGGGGGCCGGGCAGAGCGGTACTGGGGATTGAACATGGGACTCAAACACGCTGGGTAAGCACTCTACCACTGAGTTCCTCAAAACGCTATTCAAAAACACACAATTTAAAAGCCACGAGATGCTTGTTTCTGGAGTCTCCCGCTTACTATTTTTAGATGAACTAAAACCGCAACTAAGTGGGAGGCCACTGCATCATCTTCCCTTTCTCTTACAGAGTTTTCTCTCAAGCACAAACTGCACCTAAGCATTTTCACATTTACGGTCTCTTCATCCCCTGCACAGGCTTATGTGCCCCTTTGCGGAGGAGAAAACTGAGAACGGGAAATGCGAGACGCCGGAGTTACACAGCAGGACTGGGCACCCGCGAGATGCCATGTCCGGGCTCCACCTGGCGGAGGGCAGGCTGGGCCGTGGCCTTCAAGAACCCGAGCTGTGGCTCAGGCCAGGGCCCCGTCTCCTCGGCACGCAGACTGTTCATCGCAAGCACTTTCCTCCGCCGCCCGGGGAAGCCGCTGCGGCCCGAGCTCCGCCCCGATCCCGCCCGCCGGTAAGCCCCGCCGAGCCACCGGCACCTGAATACTTACCTCCAGTCCCGCCGCTCCGACGCACCGGAAGTGTTTCCTCGTGACCCGGAAGCGATGTGCCCAAAGCACCCGCAGGTTCCGTTCTGCCGGCTTTACTGGCGATGCGCCTTCCTAGCCCTCCTGTGCCTGAAGGGTGAAGCCTTAATGAGTTTTTATTTGACTTGAAATAGGGTCTCACAGTGTAGCTCTGGCCTCGAACTTGGAGCAGACCTCCTGCCTGATCACAGTCAGTCTCCACACTGTTTAGAACTTAGTTCTAAGTCTGAGCTAGAAACCCACGGTATAAGAGGAAGTACAAACAGATTCGTGTGCTAAAATTCATACAAAAAGAAATCACTATACTATATTAAAAAGTAGCCATTGAACATCTCTGTTTCCGTGGAATTTAGTGAGTGAAACCACATAATGAATATGGAATCCATACTGCACTAAGTGTTTGAAAGACAAATAACAGAGTATTGGATTAAGTGAGACAGGTCAGTTCAGAGGGCGAAGGAGGCCGAGTTTAGGCAGAGGGTGATACCCAGCCTGCAAAAGGGGCAGTGATGTTGTTGCCTTTTATAGTCTCCTACTATGCTAAATGGGGCTGAGGAGTGTGACCCAGAGGATACTGGGAATATACAGAGCTTGCATTCCAAGATTAAGTCAGAAAAACACTGTGACTTCCTCTTTGCTCTCTTGATCACTCATGGGAAGTCCCACATCGTGAAGTTCACATGGGCAGTTACCAAGCCTCCTGTCGACAATTAACTCAGCATGGTCGCCAAATGGATAAACTATCTCGAGTTCATCCTCCGGTCCCAGGTCATCTGACTGCGGCCCTGACCCCAAATCTTTTAATTGTGTGTTGGGGTGGGTGGGTGGGTGGGTATGGGTGTGGTGTATGCACACACGTGCATGCACCTATGCAGGCGGAGACCAGAGGAGTGTATCAGGTGTCCAGCTCTACCTTTGAGACCGGAAAGCCCCAGTAATCCTCTTTCCACTGTGCCTTGGCACTGGGTTAAAGATCTTCATGCTTGCTCAGCAAGCACTCTTACCATCCCAAGCCCCCACATCAGCTGTGTATATGGACTTCTGTCCTTTATTTTTCTTTTCCTTTTCCAACACTGAGGATGAAACCTCAAACACACTGCTCCAAACCCCTGCTGCTGGGACTTCCTCCTAATGACAAACTATAATCTTCAACTGGGAGCCAAAACAAACTTCCTAGGCTGCTTTTGTCAAAGTATTTTATCACAGCAATAAGCAAGTAACTAAGGGCTAGAGAGATGGCTCAATAGTTAAGAGCACTTGCTAGGCTTGCAGAGGATTTGGGTTCAGTTCTCAGTACCCATATGGTGGGACAAAATTTTCTATAACTCCAATTCCAGGGGATCAGAAGCTTTCTTCTGGTTTGTATATAAAGAAAGAAAGAAAGGAAAAAAAATATATATATATATATCATAGAGAGCTTCAGCCCAACAATGATGCCCTGTGTGTGTGTGTGTGTGTGTGTGTGTGTGTGTGTGTGTGTAAAGAAAAACTAAACAAAAAAAGAAAAGTAGCTAATACAGAGATGGAGCAGCTGAGGTCTGAAGGGAACAAATATTTAATACAGGACTTGCCCTAAAGGGGTCAGTATGAAGCCTGGGTAAGGACAGTGATTTTGTTTTGGGGATGTTTTGTTTTTGAGACAGGGTCTCACTATGTCACACTTGTGACACTAGCTGGACCAGAAATCTCTACATAGACCAAGTTGGCTTGGAACTCACAGAGATATGTCTGCCTCCCTAGTGCTGGGATTAAAGGCGTGAGCCACCATGCCCAGCAAGGAAGATGTTTTGGAATTAGCCTTCATTACAGAATGTGATTTTATTAGGAGACAGGATTCTTTGGGAGAGGGGGTACAGAAACTTTATTGATGGTATTCAAGAGAGTAGGCTCCCTAATCCTTCCAAGGGTCTGGATTGGAAACCGTTAGGGGAGACACTCAGTCACATGGGACCAGTTGGGACAGGGACTTCTCAACAGCTGAGGTCTCTCCCTCCCATGTTCTTGTTGGGGTGGGTGGTCCAGAGCTTCTTATGGAGGCCATGATCCACCACCCTGTTGCTATATTCATTGTCATCCCAGAAAATGAGTTTTACCAAGTTGTGGAGACAGGATCTTTATTAAAGTAAATAAACTGGACATGGTGTATCCACACCTGTAATCTCAGCACTTGGGAGCCTGAGGCAGAAAGATTGCATGGGTTTGAGGCTAGCTTGAAATAAATAGTGAGCCCCAGCCTGGGATATATGAGACAATGTGTTTAAAAAAAAAAAAAAAGAGCTGAGTATGGTGGTGCACACCTTTAGTCCCAGCATTGGGGAAGCAGAGGCAGCCTGGTCTACATAGCAAGTTCTAGGACAGCCAGGGCTAAATAAAGAGAACTTGTCTCAAACAACAAACAAAAGGGGACCAAGAGACAGCTTATTCTGTCAAGATGCTACTGCACCTGTCTAGTAACCTGAGTTCAATCCCTGGAACCCACCTAAGAGTAGAAGGAGAGAACCTACTCCACAAAGTTGTCCTCTGACCTCCACATGTATGCCATAGCATGTGTGCCCTCCAGCCCACATCACGCATACACATACACGCACACACACAATAATACATATTTTTAAAATAACGTATTTTATTTATTTTATGGGTGTTGTTGTTTTGCATGCATGCATGGCTGTGTAGGGGTGTTGGGATCCATGAAAGTGGAGTTGCAGACAGCTGTGAGATGTCATGTGAGTACTGGCCATTGAACCTGGGGCCTCTGGAAGAATAGACAGTGCTCTTAACTGCTGAGCCATCTTTCCAGCTCAATAAGTATTTTTGGTGGCGCACACCTTTAATCCCAGCACTCAGATAGCAGAGGCAGGTGGATCTCTGCGAGTTCGAGGTCCACCTGGTCTATAGAGTGAGTTTCAGGATAGGTAGGGCTGTTACAGAGAAACTCTGTCTCAAAAAAAACTAAGGTGGCAGAAGCTCAACTGGATAAATGTTAAAATCTAACCTAAAATGTCTAGTCTAAAAAGAAAGGGTTTGGACACAGATACACACGTGAGGATGTCATGTGAAGATGAAGGCAAACACACAGGGATTTTCCTACAGGTCAGGAAACAACAAAAATCCCCTGTCAAGCCACCAGGAGCTGAGACAGCCATGGGATAGATTTCTCAAGTCTTCAGAAGTGCCACCAGACTACTTGGTTTCAGACTCCTGGCTAATAAAATAAATGTCTGCTGCTCAAGCCACCTAGCGTGTGACATACACAGTGTTTTGACAGCCCAGTGCTAGCATGCTAATATAGGTATACAGTGTTTTGAAACCTGTTACTACCCGTCTCCAAACGTTAAAAAAAAAAATCCCCAGTGTGGCTGCTACCAGAACAGTTACTTCCTTAATTTCTGGATGTGCCTAGAGGACTCTAGCTGAGTTTAGCTTCTCCCAGTGCCCTGCAAGTCTCATTAGCACACAGCACTGCTCTGTGGCAGATTTGTCTCTAACCATGTCTATGCTGTCTAACATGCTTCAACAGTCTAACATGGCTTCAACATGGGACAGGGTGAACATTGCACTCATTTAGCTGTTTCATTTTCTTTGTGGTTTTGTATATGGTTGATGCATGTGTGTGTAGGTGTGTGTGCACAAGTGCATGCCTCTGTGTGTGCCTCTATGTAGCTGGTGATTTTTCTTGCCCTGCCAGGTTCTGCCTCCCTGCTTCAGCCCCAAATAAGTACACAAAGACTCACATTAATTATTAAACTGTTGGCTGATGACTAGGGCTTCTTTCTTATTGGCTAGCTCTGTCTTACTTATTAACCCATTTCTATTAATCTAAGTGTTTCCATGTGGTCTCGGCTTACTGGAGAATGTCCAGACCTTTTACTCCTTTGTCGACTACATGGCAACAGCATAGCAACAGTGTTTGGTGGGCGCTCTCTGCCTACCTTTCCCAGAATTCTCCTTGTCCTAGTCCTGGCATCTTCCTGCCTCATTGGCCAGACAGTGTTTTATTCATCAACCAATAAGAGAAACATCTATGTGAGGCCAAAGTTTTATATGTAACTTATCTATAGTCATAACTAAGGAAAACTATAACCCTAACTATCTGTCTTCAACACCTTTAAAGACCACAGAAGGATAGTGTATAAACGCCAACAACAACACCTCTGAAAAGGCCTCCCTGGTTGTCCCCTGTAGCTGACTGTGCTTCCTAAAGATGGCTACAACAATGTCTCTGAGTGTCACCTGCTTTGAACAATGGACTCTGTGCAAGAGATACCATGTCAAAGCCAGGCATAGCGCTTACCTGTTCTGAAAGTCAACCACCATGCAAAAAGTGTGCCTGTGCCAAGGACACCCAGCTGCCAGCATCCAGCATCAATCCTGGGAGTGAAGAAACCATCCACTGGGATGCATGAGAAAGCAAGAGAGGTGGAATCCAGGTGGGCACAGTGCTTATTGCACATTTCTTCCCCCTCCTCCTTACCCTGAAACCGGGTGTAGGCAGAGTGTTCCTGTCCAGGCAGCTGCTTCCCAAATAACCACCCAGAGGCTTAATGCTACTTTACAAATGCTCTACCAGTAACTCAGGTCAGGCTTGTTACTAGCTAACTCTTACATTTAGATGAACCCATTTCTACTAATCTATGCGGCTTGTCCTCTAGCATCTCTTGCTCCTCAGAGGCTGACTGGTGTCTCTCTTTCTCTGTGTTCTCAGTTTGATCACCCCACCTATATGTTTTGCCTGGCCTCAAACTCACAGAGATCCGCCTGCCTGTGCTCCTGAGTGCTGGGAGTAAAGGCGTGCGCCACCAACCCAGTGGCCACAGCAACTCTTATAAAGGAAAACATTTCATTGAAGCTGGCTTAGAAGTTCAGAGACTTAGTCCTTTAGTTACAGAGGGAAGCATGGCAGCATGCAGGCAGACAAGGCGCTGGAGAGCGAGTGGAGAGCTCCACATCTGGATAGGCAGGCGGCAGGAAAAGAGTAACACTGGTATTGCTTGAGCTTCTGAAACCTCAAAGCC